GGTGTCAGTTAACAGTTCATATTCAGAACCAAGTTCTCTGGGTTCAGATACTTAGGGGCTGGATGATAGTCATCATTTTTCTTCATCTCTTGTAAAATGAAAATAATAGCCTGGCACATAGTTTAAATAACTGTTAGTTTGTAGTTCTATTTTGCCTTTTCAACTCAAAAGTTTTCAGGGGTCCATCAGGGACACAAATCAGGGCCAGATCTCTGATGTAGAGCAGAAGGAAGCTGCTGCTTCTCATGGGCACCTTCATAAAATTGAAGACCACATATCAATTAGGTCAATTTCTTGTTCTTCCTCTCCAAGTAAATTACATTGTTGAATTTGTACAGTTTATCTGTTGTGTAACCTTGGCACATCACTTTCCTATCTGAAACACCTATGGCCTGCCTCTCACAGAGCAGGGTAATACCAAGAAAAGCACCTTTAAAAAAGAAAGAAAGAAAGAAAGAAAGAAAGAAAGAAAAAAAGAGAGAAAATGCTGTACAAACTTTAAATGAAAATGTATTAGTTTACAAATTTTCCAACTTTTCCCAGATCTGTTTTGCAAATACTTTTTTGAATAATAATAATAATAATAATAATAATAATAATAATAATAAAGCCAAGTCCTGTTCTGACTGCTGGGTATAGAGAGATAAATAAGATGTGGGCTTTGCTGTCAAAAGAGGATGTGCATTGGGTGTGGGAAGACATATTTTCTGTCTGAAATCATACAACTTAGGAAGCCAAATCACAATTAGGAAGTTGCTTATTGAGCATGATCCTAACAAGAAAGGTTGGTGGAGAGTTGGAATAGCAATGAGTGGTATGTCTGTGAGCCAGAGATATCTGGATACAAGAGTAGGTATTGGCATAACCACCTTCCCCAGCACAGTTCTATAAGGAGGCCCTGCCAGTGTTTGCCTCCTGATGCTCTTTGCATATCGATGGTTGCTGATAGCCCTTCTGAACAGTCCCTTTCTCTCTCTTTTTTTCTGTATACCTTCTTTCCATAGACATTTTTCATCTTACATAACAGCACAGCTTGTAGTCTGGAAGTGGAATGAGTTGGTAATTTTCACTTTGGGTCTTACCCACATTGTACTGACCTTACTAACACATTACTCAGGACAGGATATCCTCACTCCTTGAGTGTCCCTGAGTCTTTCATTCTTAATTGTGCCACTCCGATTAGGTTCTCAGCATCTCTTTGTGGTCCGGTATCTTGCACAGGTTCCTTTTCTTTGCCCTCTCGGCTGTTTTTTCAAAGTTGGCAAATGCCTTCAAGCTTCCACCCAGCCTCTCTTCCTCTGATCCCTAGTAGGTAATCTTGTCGCTTACTTTAAATTTTATTTTATTTTATTTTTAGAGTACTAGGGGTTGAACCTAGGCGTTCTGAACCACTGAACTACATTTCCAGCCTTTTTAATTTTATTTTGAGACAAGGTTTTGCTAAATTGCTAAGGCTTGCCTCAAACTTGCCTCCTCCTGTATCAGCCTCCTGAGTAGCTGAGATAATAGGCACGTGCCACTGTGCCTGGCTTCTTGCCGCCTACTTTAGCTAGAAATGGAAGTAGAGTGCAACTTCTTCATATGTAGATATAAGCTCCCTGCCAAAAGCCTCAGCTGTCCATCTCTAGTGCCCCAGGTCATATCCTGGGCTCCCCCTGCAGCCCACTACTGTCCCCGCAGTTCTCATCTACTTTGGTGCCATCTGAGTCTGGGAATAGGAAAGTTGTAGGAGAGAGTGGCTGAGTATTTCTTCTTGTTCCCCTCTGATCCACCAGTGGTCACTTCCCTCTTCAGTGGAAGCCATGTCAGGACCCTTGTCCACAATGCCAGCTCCCAATGGGTTCTGTCTACACTGTTTCTTTTTCTTGTCCCTTTAGACCCAGGGGTGGTAAGGGCTTCCCACTGTTGCTAGTTCCTGGATATTCAACATCTCTTTGTGGCTTCCTTTACCCTTCCCAGATCTCTGTAAATAGTTACTCCATTAACTTTTTTTTTTCCGTTTATTGGAATAGACTTTCTTCTTCTTGTTGGGTCCCTGAGTGATACATAATTCGTATGTCTCCCTGGAGAAACTGCTTCCTGAACATCCCCATAGGTGTCCCTGACTCAACAAGTTCAGAACACAATTTATTTTTTCTCAAATTCTCAAACTGCTTTTCCTCTTGACATTCCCACTTTGGTTAACTATAACCTAGTCAATTATTTAAGTTGAAAACCTGGTATTCATCCCAGACTTCTTACTTATTTTATTTTATTTTATTTTGTGGGGGAGGGTGTACTAGGGATTGAAGACAGGAGTATTCTACCATGGAGCTACATTCCCAGTCCTTTACATTTTTTTTTTTTTTTTAATTTTGAGACAGGGTCTCAAGTTGCTTAGTCTGGTCTTGAACTTGGAATCCTCCTGCTTCAGCCTCCAGAGTCGCTTTGATTACAGGTGTGCATCATGGCATGCTGCTGAATTCCTTATTCTTCAAATCCATCAGTGCTACTCCCTAAGCATCCTTTGAATCCATCCCTTCTTTTCACTCCCATCCAGTGCCCTGGGTTAGGCCCACATCATCCATTATCATTGCTTTAACTTTTGTAACAATCCGATTGGTATTCTTACTTCACTCTTGTGTCCCTCAAACCCTTCTTTATGTGGCATTTAAAAATGCAATCCGAGGAGGGGATGTAGCTCAGGGTAGAGCACTTGCTTGGCATCCACAAAGCCATCACCACACACAAAAAATGCAACCTGAGAATTTGTTTCCTGTGTTTAAAACCTCTCTATGATTCTCTAATACCTAGATGATAAAGTCTGAGCTCTTTAGCAAGGAATACCAGGTCCTTCTGGATCTGACACTCCTCACTCACACTCTGAACTTTTAATAGTCTATTTTGTATGTTATCTACTCTAAGAACTTTTCCAGAACCCTCCTCCACAGGGGAGTCCTCCTTGGTCCCTGCTGTGCCTCATTCTTTGCCTTCCCAGTAGAGTAGGAGGGCAGCAAACACATTAATCCACCTCTTCATTCTCAGGGCCTGGCACAAGGCAAACCAGTCTCAAAATGCATTGAATGAATAACCAGAAATTGGGTCCGTGTGCCAGGGACCAAGGCACAACAAGGCACAACCTTTGGTGGACAGAGCTCAGGGGGTTTGTGACTAAGCTTTGACTCTGTGTGTGTGTCTCTGTGTGTGTATGTGTGTGTATGTGTGTGTGTGATCAAGTCACCCCAGTCCAGTGCCCAGTACCAGGCCAGGCTTCACACCAGAGAACAACTCAGTGCAGAGTGACAGAGACCACCCATGAGGCCCTCCCCCGAGGGTTGAGAGTGCAAGGCAAGGGGCCAAGACACACAACTGGACTGTGGGACTTGGAGGAGGCGTGGAGAGGGTGCAGCGCCCTGGAGAAGGCACAGGGAGGCGTCACAGGTTCCCTGACACAGATCTAAGCAGGCGGAGGGGGAGGATTCATTCATCCAAAGCCAGCCTGAGGCCCGGCCCAGGCCCGGGAGGGGATTTCCTCAGACTCCCTCCCCCTGGGCTGGGTCCTGGGGAACCTGTCTGGACGGTAGAGGGGAGGGAACTGGGAGAGCCTGGCAGGGCGGGAGCTTGGGGCTGCTGGCAGCCCCGGTGGCCCGGGTCGTCTCAAACTCGGTGACCGGACTGTGCTGCCAGAGACGCCCCTACCTCGGCCACCCGAGGTAAGGTCCTGGCTGGGGCGGTGAGGGAGTCCGGGTGTCCACTGGAGGCGGCGCAGGAAGCCCCTGGACTCTGTAGTCCAAGTCTGGCTGGGTGCTCCCTCCTAACCCCGCTTCCGGAGCAGCCTGGAGTGGCCGCTTGGGGTCCTGCAACTTTCGTTTTAAAAGTTGGCAGCAGTTGGGCCAGGAGTCAGGGGACTGTTTCCTCCAGGGACATGAGGATGGGAGAGATGACCAGGTAATGTAATGCCCCTTCCTTGTCCTATTCAATCGCTGGCTTTCTCTCCTTCCATCAGTTCTTCCCAGCATCCCTGAACCCCCAATTTTGGGGAGGAGTGCTGGGGATGAATCTAGGGCCTCAAGCATGCTAGAAGGGTCTACTGCTGAGCACCATCCTCAGTTATAACTCCATTTTTTTTCTACCTTCAATTGAGCAGATTCCCAGCCTTCCCACTTGGCAGACCTCTGCTCCCGCCTGGGCACTGGCGACCACAGGGTCTGCTGTGCTGCTTCCAGCAGGGCAGCTCTCGGGCTTATTTGTTTCCTCCTTCCTGGTCTGAGCATCTGAGGGATTTCACTACCTCATTCATTTATTATTATTCATTTGTTTCTTCCTCCTCTGTGAGTGTGTACTTGGATTCTCTAGGGACCAGGAAACACTATTTCTGCTTCTCTGGGATTAAGAAAACTGAAATTTATCCATAAACATTTAAAGATCATCTACAAGCTGGTAGGCAGTGTGGCAGGGTAGAAAATTATTTTGGAGTCACAGGGAGACTTGCCATATCCCACAACTCCCACTTACTTCCTGGACCTCAGTTTCCTTGTCTGTAAAATGGTATTTTTACAAAGGTGACAAGAAACAAAACATGCCAAGTACTAAGGCTGGGCATATCATGGAGCCTGGATAAACATCTGCTCTTTCCTTCTTCTTTGAACCCCTTCCTGCCACACCCCTCATTGGCACCTCCCTTGTCTTAGGCTTGTAAGATACCTGCGACAACCCCTGGCCTTGAAAGCACCTAGGTGGACTTGTAAACACAGAACTGGGCAATGCAGGGAGCTGGTGGAGGAAGAGGGAGGCCAGAAGGTATGGAAATGTCACCGAAGAGGGAAAGCACTGGCAGCGGGTTGGAGGTAAAAACACTGAACCAGGGCTGGGTCCAGACCTTCCTGTGTGTCTGAACTTGCACATTAAATCTTTAAAACCAACTCTGCCTGGCTGCAGGGCAAAGGCTTTGAAATACATTATCTCACAAAATCATAAACCTGTTATGATGTTATCCCAGTTTTTCAGATGAAGAAATGGAGTAACACTGGTTAAGGAATTTATTTACCTAAAGTCACATGGCTAGTAAGTAATGGATCTAGAATTCAGTCTTGTAGATCAGACTCTAAATTCCATGCTCTTTGCCTGACTCTTTCCTGTCTTAAGTTTCTTGGTACTAGAAAGGTTGAAAGTGAGGCCATCATGATCCCTCAACTACTTAAGACACTAGTCTTTTCACTTCCTGTGCATCTTCAGCTTTGGGCTGCCTCAGCCAGGTGGGGAGGAGCACATTCTCTGATTCATTAATTTATTCACTCATTCATTCAATCAAGTGCCCTGTTCATCCCACGAGACTGCAAGGTTCCAAGAGGGTGAGTTCATGTCTGTTAATTCACAGTTATGTTACCAGCACCTTGTATGTCTCTAGGGTAAAACTGTTGGGCAAATCTTTTGTGAATAAATGAAGCTGACAGATATTTATTGATGGATTCCATTGATTGGGATAATAGAGATTCAAAGATAAGTAAGACAAAAGTTCTGTTTGGGGATGTTCACATCTCGTGACAGTTATAATACAAAGAATATACTTTAGACATGAGCAGAGGCTGCTGAGGGGCCTAAGAGGGGCATTTAATTCTACCATGCCTGCTTTCTTTCACATAGTTTCTGCCGGGCCTAGCACAGCACCAGGTATGAGATAGATGCCCACTAAGGCTTTGCAGAGGAGGTGTAAAGGTCAGAGGGGTACTCAGACTTCCCCAGGAGAACAAACTGGGAAGGGAAGATGTTTTAACAGAGGGAGAAGCTTATGAAGAGGCTTAGTGGAAAGTGGGAGCTGGAACTGCTCAGGGTTCAGTAGGCTGGAATATAGGGTGTATTGCAGGGAATGGCAAGAAATGAAAGTGGAAAAATAGGTCTCAGGTCAGGAAGCCTTTGTGAACCTTGTTAATGAACTTGGACTTTATACCAAAGGCCCTGATTTGCATTTCAAAAGTGTGACCAATGCACAGGGTCTAGGTGTTGACAGAGGTTTTCAGGCTAGTGGGGTCCTCTCCTTAATGAGGAAATAAGATTTTCTTTTAGGACCTTGTGATGGTTTGCTCATGAACAGCCTCTTGAGTTGTCCCATGTCCTGGTCAATTAACATTTTGTCCTTAGTTGTACACTGGATCACTGCTAACTGTTCCTTCTAATAAAAGCGCTGAAATTTATGAATAATTTACATTTGTATAACTTGGAGCAGATTCAAAGATGTTCTTCTTGCTAACTTGCAGTCCCATGTGCTTTCTTATGTAAGAGACAGAGTTGTAGATGGGTGGCCAGGAATTCCACCTAGCTCTGCATGTGCCTGGGGAGGGTGTGTGGAATATGCCAGTCATCCTGCAACTGATGGCTTTGAAGGAGCCAGTTTCCAGATCCTCAACCTCCACAGGTACTGCTTCTTAAATGCTTTCTTCTTCTCTGGATTCTTTTAAGTTCTCCTTTCAATTTTGCTCTCATTGTTTCTCTTCTTTGGCTTTTCAAAAAAAGGCACACCTCTATCCATCTTCAATCTTTCTGTGACATACTGTTCAAAAGGACAATTGGAGAAGCTCTGTTCCTGAGAGAGAGCAAGCAAAAGAGTAAAATAAAATAGAAAGGGTCACTCCTCACTACAGACTCATAGTATTTATTTATTCAGTTTAGTTTAATTCAATTTGCAGTACTGGTGATTGAACCCAGGGGTGCTCTATCATTAAGCTACATTCCCAGCCCTTGTTATTTTATTTGGAGATGGGGTTTTACTAAGTTGCCAAAACTGCCCTTGGAATTGTGATCCTCCTGCCCCAGCCTCCTGAGTCATTGAGATTACATGCTGTGCCACCAGGCCCAGCTCATAGTATTTATTTTATTTTAAAATACTTGTTTGATGCTATTTATGTGCTAGACAGTGTTTGAAGAATTTTACAGAAAAGGAACCAAGTCTATAGATACTTTGATCTTTTTTTTTTTTTTTAAACAGATGAATTTCCTGAGGCATGGAGAGGTTTGGTGAATTGCTTGAAGTCACAGAGCTATTAAGTGATAAAATCAGGATTTGAACTCAGGCACTTTGAACTCCTCTATAATTGGGGCTCTTAACCGTGATGTCTTTCTATTAACCTTAAGTTATTTAGCTCTTTATGTATTGTACAATTAGAGTTGCGATAAGCCTGTTGTCATGGGAATGCAAATGAACACATTTATAAAACTTTTTTAAAAATGCTGTGTATTTTCTTACAGATAGAAAAAAATCCATCTAATTTGGCTGGTTGGTTTGACAGTGAGGAGTGGCTTTGCCAGCGGGATTATATGGTAGATATTTCCTGTAAACTGAACAAGCTAAATCTGTAGCTCCAAGGTTTGGGTGAAGATATATTTAAAGCATGTCTCTAACAAAGACTATGCCAGAGAACTTGGTCTTGGAAACTATTTTAGCTTGCGAAAAATAATTTTAGTTATTAACTTAAAAATGTGTGACGGGGCTGGTGGTGTTGCTCAGAGGTAGAGCTCTTGTTTACCATGCATGAGGCCCTGGGTTAGCTACCCAGTTTAAAGAAGGGACATAACATTTTCAAAATACTTATGGGGACTCATAAACAAAAATATGTAAAAAACTTCCAAAGCGCAGCACATGTAGACAGCACTGGCCATGTGTACTTAGTGGGGATAAGGTTCCTGATGAGGTGAAGTCAAGTGGCTTGCTCACAGGAAGGCAGGGGCAGAGTTACAGTAGGAACCAGGTTTTTCTGGCTCCTACAATGTCAGTGTTCTTTCCATACTCCATATTTCTTTCTTTTCTTTTAATTTTAAATACATTTTTTAGCTGTAGATGTACACAGTACCTTTATTTTATTTATTTATGTGGTGCTGAGGTTCAAACCCAGTGCCTCACACATGCTAGGCAAGTGCTCTACTACTGAGCCCCAGCCCCAGCGCCCCATACTCCATATTTCCTCTTTTCTTCCTTTTTTTTCATTTGATGGATAATTCAGCAAACTCTTAGCCCCATTCTGTGCTAGGTGGGGTACGGATGGAATAGAAAAACAAACATTTCTGTCTTTTCTGGAGCCAGTAAAGAATCAGACAATAAATATACCAGATATTTTTAGATATGATAAATGCTGGGTACAAATAAGCAGGAGAATGTGCTGGAGGATGTGGAGGTGGGGGAAGGCGTGTCTGGGGGAGACTTCCTAGGGAGGCACTACTTGTTATGAAGAAAGGTGTGTGTGTGTGTGTGTGTGTGTGTTAGAGCGAGAAGGAGGGAGTAGAAAAAGCTACACCAAATGAATGGCAAGTGCAAAGACCCTGAGGCAAGAGTTTGATGTGTTCTAGGAACAGAAAGAATCCCTGTGGCTGCAACTCAGAGTTGTTGGGAGAGAGCGGTAGAAGCTGAACTCAATAAAGGCAGGAGCTGAGGTCAAACTGGGACCTTATCAGTATTTATCCTGAAGACAATGGGTAACCATGGAAGGCTTTTTTTAAATTTTTTTTTATTTTTGGCAGTTCTAGGAATAGAACCCAGGGTCTTGTATGTGCTTGGCAAGTGGTGTACCACTGAGCTACACCTCCAGCCCTTTTTATTTTATTTGAAGACCAGCTGGCCTTGAACTTGCAACCCTCCTGTCTCAGTCTTCCAAGCAGATGGGATTATAGGTGAGCACCTTGGGGGCACAGCCCTTTTTGAAGGTTTTAAAGGAGAATTAATATACTCTGATTTATGGGGGTTTTTTTGGGGGGAGGAGGGTAAGTAGGAGTGGAAATGGAGGTGGAGACTGATTTGGGAGGCTATTTCAGGTAAGATATCTGTAGTCTGATCCCTGGAGGGATCCAAAGATGGTCAAGGTTAATGAAAGGCAGAATGGTATGAAATGTCGTTCTGTCTCTGGCTCAGATGAGGGACGTTGGTAGCTATTGCTGTATAATAAACCACTCCAAGATTTAGTGATTGAAAACAATTACCATGTTATTTTGTCTTTTGCTGTTTTCCGCATGGGTAGCTTGGGCTTCCTCATAGCACGGTGGCTTCAGGGTAGCCAACCTTCTTACATGGTGTCAGGCTTCAAGGAGGGAGCTTTCCAAGAGGAGCCACATCTCTTAAGGCGTGGCCCTGGACACACTCTTTCTGCCATGTAGTATTGGCCAAAACCAGTCACAGGGTTGGCCTAGATTGAAAGAAAGTGGAAACAAACCTGATCTTTCAGAGGGAGGAATGGCAAATAATAGGCTCCATTTTTAGTCTGCATGCTAGGCTTATGGAAACTGAGCACTGTAACCACTCAGATGGGGCTGACCCATTTTTTTAGTCTAAATCATAGCACATTGTGTTGGAACAATTTATAGGTCTTTATTCCCTACTGAATTTGGGAGCCTGGAGAAATGAAAAGTTTTTTTTTTGTTGTTGTTGTTTTGTTTTGTTTTTTCCCTATGTGTTTCCAGAGCCCATCTCATATAAGGCATTCAGAGAAAGTGTGTCCAATGAATGTCCACATAAGCATTCAGTGGTTATCAAAACATGGTGTGCAAAAGACTCCCTGGGAAACCTGTTAAAAATGCCTACAGATTCCCAGCATGACCCAAGCCCAGAATCTCTGAATCTTAATCCCAAGGGCAGGATTTTATTCTTTGATGCTCATTAAAAAAAAATTCCCAGAACCAGGTTTAGTGGTACACGCTTATAATCCCAGTAAATCCAGAAGCTGAGGCAAGAGGATCACAAGTTCAAGGTCAGCTACTTAGCAAGATCCTATCTCAAAATAATAAAAAAATCTGGGGATGTAGCTCAGTGGTAGAGAGCCCCTGGGATCAACCCCCAGTGCCAATAAAAAAATCCCAAAGCACAGGTCCCAGCCAAAAAGACTCTGATTCCATTGATCTGGAGTGAGTCCAGATAAATAGGCTCATTGGAGGATTCTGATATGAGGCCAGGGTTAAGAACAATAGCCTGAGGTATAAAACCAAGTATCTTTGCCTAGCCTCCTTGGATGATTCTGAGGTGGTTGATCTGGGACAGGGTGATCAAACACCCTTGGTTTGCCCAGGTCTGACCTGATTTTATCATCCCAAGAAACTCACAGTCCTGTGCAAACTGGGATGATTGGTCACTATTAATGGATCACTGAAATGTTTAAGAAATATTTCATTGAGGTAGCAAAAGTCTTTTTTGGAGAAAACACCTACAAATTTCTAATAAAAGCAATGATTTTTAATCTCATTACTTGAGAGATTGAGGTAGTATCATGATGCTCTCAAACAGCCAATTGCTTGAATTAGGGAGGAAATGTCTCAGGGTCAGGATCCCATCAGCCCTGTGTGCTGGTGTGCTAGGTCTTTTGGCTCACTTAGTGTGTCCATTTGGGGGGATTCTTCCAGACCGTATTTCTTAGTGTACATGAGGAAGCTTCTAAAGCTCAATCAATAAGGATGATGATGGGTTGAGGACAGTATAAGATGCAGGAGGGATTTCCCTATGTCTCCTACAGCAATGTGTGTTATTATTACTATTCTTAACATTATAACGGGGTACATAAATCTCTGTAATATATGAAACAGTTCTGTGAGAAGGCAGACCATATAGTGGAGAGGCCTAGGATCTGGCCTCTCCTGGATGAGTGGATTTGTTCTCCTGCTGCGCTGTCATGAGATAAGTAATCCTGGGTGCCTGTTTTTGCCTTAGTTGTTCATCTGTAAAGTGGAAATAACAATGATTTCGCCTTCATAGATAAGGAAGATGGGAGGAGCCACCAAAATAAACTAGGGGAAAATGGTCCCCAGACTGGAAAGGGTGAAGTGTTATGATGGTCTTATGGGAAGGACACGAAGAAGCTATTCTGTGTGTGATCAAGGCTCTGGTCCCTCCACCCTGAACTACAGTCAGAGCTGTGGGGGGGTCCAAGGAAGAAGCCTTTAAACCATGATGAGCTCTGTTGAGACCTCAGGAAGCAGAGTGGCCCTACCTTAGTTGCCCTCACTGGGGAGGGTATGTGTGCTTTGCCTCAGAAAAACTGTTGAAAGCCTGGGTTTGTGAAGCATTTTTTTGTTTTTAAATCTTTTCCCTATTTATTCCAAATATGCCTTCAGAGATGGAGCAAAAGGCAAACAACCACAACCACAAGCCCATAATATTGAAAAGCCAGTTTCTGAATTTATGCAGCTAAAAATGCATCGTTTCAGGCTGTGACCACAGAGAGATTGCTGGACTCCTGGAATTGGGCATAATGATGGTTTGCTGTATGATGAGGGAGGCTGTTAATCTCTGTGGCCCCAAAGCCCAATCTGTGGCCTCTCCAGTTACCCAGGTTGCCTAGCAACGCCACCAAAAGCCTCCCCACCAGGCAGCAACTGGGCACGCCCAGCCAGCCAGCTGCTTGCCTTCTGGGCCCCCGGGCCACATCAAGGCTGGACTCAGCCCGGGAAGGGGCCCCGCCTGGTACCAATGAATGGGTGGAGCCAGCTGTTTAGAACAACAATCCAGATATTTTAAACCTACTCGTTTCAATGCAGCTAGGAAACAGCACAAACTACTGACCATGAGTGTCTTCCACCAAAGAGGAGTTGTCCTAAGGGTATTGGCCTTGCCAGTGCCCTTCTGGGCCAGGTGAAGGAGGTAAGGTGAGCCTGACTTAGTCTTTCTGGTTCTCAGAACGGCAGATCCTTTTCCTGTCCTGGGTACTTGACTCCATCCAGATCCCTGTGGTAGCAGTAGGGGTTGGGGGATTCCCAGCCCCAGGTGACCTGCCAGTTCTTCAACAGTTTTCCTTTGGGAATTCCCAGAGTTTGGTCTGGGTCTGTCTGTGCAGCCAGACTATGAAGAGAATATGAGGGTGGAGGGAGAGGGATGGGATGGAAATAATCAAAATGCGCAGCAGAACACTTAGGGCTGTGGAGTTAGAAGCATGGGCTCTCCTCGCACCCTCCCCTTGCTTGCTGTAGGGCCTCTGGAGCCTGAGTTTCCTTATAAGATGGGGATGTTACTACCCTGCCTCCCAAGGTGGCTGTGAACTATGATGAAGAGGAAGCTCACAGGGTGCATAATGTGGAAGCTGGCACACAGTGCTCACTACCGTGGCCATTAGGCCACTTGATTCTTACAATTCCCTAAGACGCTGAGCTCTGTTAGGTGAGCTCTGTTACAGCCGGGGAAACTGAGGCCCAGTGACATGAGGACACCGGGAGTAGACGGTAGGCATTCACGGTGCCACACAAGCCGTGCTGTTCCTCAAGGGCAGTCATCACAACACAGTGGCTCTACTGGTCTCCTCTGAGGACTCAGAGAGGACAGGATGGCAGTGGGCCATGCAAATCCAGAGGAAAAGGCGCTTTGCAACAGAAAGTGACACAAGATCTAGTCCATGTGGTGTGGATGTAGTTCCTTCTTCCTTTCCTTTTTCTCTCCATACCTCTTTCCCTCCTCCTTTCCAATAGCATTCTTTTATTTTTTTTTTATTTTATTTTTTTTTTTAATATTTATTTTTTAGTTATCGGCGGATACAACATCTTCGTTTTGTATGTGGTGCTGAGGATCGAACCCGGGCCGCACGCATGCCAGGCGAGCGCGCTACCGCTTGAGCCACATCCCCAGCCCAATAGCATTCTTTTAAATAAACTTTTTTGGGGGGAGAAGGGTAATTTTAGATTTATAGAAAATTTGCAAAGGTAGTGCCGAGTTTCCATATACCCTTTATTCAAATACAAAGTTATTTTTAGTTTTTAATTTTTTTGGTGCTAGGGAGTAAACCCAGGGCCTCATAAATGCTAAGCAAGGGCTCTACCATTGAGCAACATCCCGGCCCACAAATATTTTTTTGAACACCTACTATGTGCCAGGAATGGTGCTGGGCACAAAGAATATAGCAGGGAACAGGTCTCTGCCCTCCATGACAGCATAAGTATAGTATGTGAGCTGGAGTAGACTTGGAGACCCTTATTCTGGTTCTTTATTATTATTTTTTTTGGTACCAAGGATTGAACTCACTGAGCCACACCTCAGACCCTTTTTATTTTTTATTTTGAGACAGACTTGCTAAGTTGCTTCAGACCTTGCTAAGTTGCTGAGTCTGGTCTCCAACTTGAGATCTTCCTGCCTCAGCCTCCTGAGCCACTGGGATTACAGGCATGTACCGTCATGACCAGCTCAGTCTGGTTCTTAAAGGGGCTGCTGCCTCCACTTCATCTGGTATACTTGTCAGAGATCTACTAAATCTATTCAATAACTCTTTGGCAGTGGGTCCTGGGAATCTGCATGAAAACAAGTGCTACAGGGGATTGTAAAGCCTAGTCAGTATCTTGAGAAACTTCTAGTCTAGTGAAGACTATTCACTGTGCAGGTAAGATAGCTGTGACTCAGAGACAGAAGGAACTTGTCCCTGGTCACAGGAAGTGGCAGAATCTAGATCAGATCACAACTTTCCTGAATCTGTGCAACTTATACTATGTCTCCTAAACACAGAGAAATGAATTTCACTTGTAAGAAAAGACTCCAAGCTATATATACTTAATCCAAGGCCAGTATCATTCTAAATGGAGAACAATTGAAAGCATTCCCTCTGAAAACTGGAACAAGACAATGATGTCCTCTTTCACCACTTCTATTCAACATCATCCTTGAAACTCTAGCCAGAGCAATTAGATAGAAGAAAGAAATTAAAGGGATATAAATAGGTAAAGAAGAACTCAAACTATCACTATTTGCTGATGACATGATTTTATATGGAGAAGATCTGAAAAATTCCACCAGAAAACTTCTAAAACTAAGAAATGAATTCAGCAAAGTAGCAGGATATAAAATCAACACCCAAAAATCAAATGCATTCCTATACATCGGCAATGAATCCACTGAAAGAGAAATTAGGAAAACTACCCCATTCACAATAGCCTTAAAAAAATAAAATACCTGGGAATCAATCTAACAAAAGAGGTGAAAGACTTCTACAATAAAAAAACTACAGAAAACCAAAGGAAGAAATTGAAGAAAACCCCAGAAAATGGAAAGATCTCCCATGCTCCTGGATAGGCAGAATTAATATTGTCAAAATGGCCACACTGCCAAAAGTGTTATACAGATTTAATGCAATTCCTATTAAAATACTAATGACATTCTTAATAGAAATAAAAAGGCAATCATGAAATTTATTTGAAAAAATAAGAGACCCAGAATAGCTAAAGCAATCCTCAGCAAGAAAAGTGAAGCAGGAGGCATCACAATACCAGACCTTAAACTACACTACAGTCATAGTAACAAAAATGGCATGGGATTGGCTCCAAAATATTCTTGTAGACCAATGGTACGGAATAGAGGACACAGAGACAAACCCACATAAATATGGTTATGATATACTAGACAAAGGTGCCAAAAACATTCCCTGGAGAAAAGATAGCCTGTTCAACAAATGGTGCTGGCAAAACTGGAAATCCATATGTAACAAAATGAAATTAAACCTCTATCTTTCACCTTGCTCAAAAATCAACTCAAAGTAGATTCAAAGATTTAGGCACTAGAACAGAGACCCTGCACCTAATAGAAGAAAAAGTAGGCCCAAATCTTCATCACGTCAGCCTAGGATCTGATTTCCTTAACAAGACTTCTAAAGTACAAGAAGTAAAATCAAGAATCAATAAATGGGATGGATTCCAATAGAAAAGCTGCTTTTCAGCAAAGGAAACAATCAATAATGTGAGGAGAGAGCCTACAAATTGGGAGAAAATCTTTACCACATGCACCTCTGATAAAGCATTAATCTCTAGGATATATAAAGAACTGAAAAAACTTAACACCAAAAAACCCCAAATAACCCAATCAATAAATGGGCTAAGGAACTGAACAGGCACCTCACAGAAGAAGAAATACAATTGATCAACAAATATATGAAAAAGTGTTCAACATCTCTAGCAATTAGAGAAATGCAAATCAAAACTACTCTAAGATTTCATCTCACTCCTGAAACCTTATTACAAAATGAAGCAAATGTCAATCATCAAGAATACAGGCAACAGTAAATGTTGGTGAGGATATCAGGGAAAAGGCACACTCATACATTGCTGGTGGGCCTGCAAATTGGTACAACCACTATGGAAAGCAGTATGGAGATTCCTTAGAAAACTTGAAATGGAACCACCATTTCACCTAGCTCTGTTTCTATCCAAAAGACTTAAAATCAGCATACTACAGTAATGCAGCCACGTCAATGTTTATAGCAGCTCAATTTACAATAGCTAAACTGTGGAACCAAACTAGGTGTCCTTCAATAGATGAATGGATAAAGAAACTTTGGTACATATATATTCAATGGAATATTACTCAGCATAAAGAAGAACGAAATTATGACATGTGCCAGTAGATGGATTGAGTTGGAGAATATCATACTAAGTGAAATAAGCCAATCCCCAAAAACCAAAGGGCAAATGTTTTCTCTAATATGCAGATGCTAATTCATGATAAGGGGGAGGGGCACAAGAGAAGAATAGTGTTACCTGAGATTAGTAAAGGGAAGTGAAGTGAGGGGAGGGGAGGGGATGTGGGGATAGGAAAGATAGTAGAATGAAACAGACATTATTACTTTATGCACATGTGTGACTGCATGACCAATATGATTCTACAACATGTACACTCAGAAAAATAAGAAATTATATCCCATTATTTATGATATATCAAAGTGCATAAATGCATTCTACTATCAGGTAAAACTAATTAAAACAAATAAAAAAGAAAAAAAAAAAAAAAAAAAACTCCAGATGGAGTTTAGAAGAATGTTCTGACCATTCAGCTAAATCAGTTAGGTTCCTGGTCACAAGGGACTGAAACTGATCCTGACTGATAAAATCAGAAAATGAATTTAATTGAAAGCACATTTGGGTGGGTTAGAGCCTGCAGGAGATGGAAGATGGCTTGGGACTTGAGCAGAAAGAAAGGGTGACAAGGCAGCGAGCACTCCACCCCAGTCCCCTCAGAGACAGTGCAGAGCCTCTGCATGCTCAGTGCTGCTGCCCTTGTTGCAGTCCAGTGGTGTCGGATGCCAGATGCCACACCGACCCCAATGGCAAGGTGTCTGGACACCAGATGCTGCGGCCATTGTTGTAACCACTGAAAAGATTTTCCCCATTCCCAGCTCCATCCTCGACCCTCCTAAGCAAATGTGACTGACTGGTTAAGCTGAGGTCACCAACCAGAGCCCTTCCTGCCTAGGGACCTGGAAATGTGAGTTTTAGGCATTTTAGCTTCTGTAGTGGGATGTAGTCCCTGCTGCCCACCAAGATGAGATGAAGAATTTCCCAAGAAAACTGACCACACGACCACAACCTAAGTGTTATCAAAAGAATAGACTGAGCTGGGCAGGTGGGCACATGCCTGTAATCCCAGCTACTTGGGAGACTGAGGCAGAAGGATGACAAGTTTGAGGCCAGCCTCAGCAACTTAGTGAGACCCTATCTCCCCACCACCACCCCTAAAAGGGCTTGGAATGTAGCTCAGTGGTACAGGGTTTGTCTACCACTTGTGAGGCCCTGGGTTCAATCCCTAGTACCCCCAAAACAAGTAAGAAATAAGTAAATAAAGATTGAAAGTCCTTGACATTTGCAGACTGAACACATACAGTCTGGGCGTTTTATTAACTACCCTCGGAGGCCCATTGTGAATGACTGAGCTGAATGATCGGCTTTGCCCAAGCCAGCCATTTACTGTGCCTGGACAGCTCACGCAACTTCATTATTCTCTACTGGTTATAGCCTGTGTGTGTTATGTATTTTATGTAACTGCAGTGATTGAAATCTTTGTTTCTTGTCTGGGGAGTAGAAAAGACTCATAAAATAAGTCACTTGATAGTGACAGTGGGAGAAATGAAGAGAAAGTGAAGAGACCTGGGAAAGTGACATCATCATCATCATCATCATCATCATCATCATTTTTGCCACCAATAGAAGTTTTGAGTAAAGTGGAGTGGGATATCAAGTGATATCTAGGGTCTTGATGTCAATACAGCCACTGTGTGTGTGTGTGTGTGTCACAGACAGAAGGGCTTTGGGGAGTTGCTCTAGTGGGCATCAGCCAGTGTGGAAACTGCTCTTCAAGAAAAAGCTGAAGCCTTATTACAAGATGAAGAGACACACAGACTGAGTTTCTTTTTTCTTCTTTGGGAATTTAGGTGCCAGGTATTAAATATGACTAATGCTCCTCAAACAATACATTTTTATAAGTAATTTACTTCTATGCTTACAGAGCATTTAGAGACTAAAATAAAACCAAACTTTTTCTGACTATAATTTACAATGTAATTTTGGGAGATACTATGTAATGTATAGTGAATCAGGCCAAAGGTCTTTGAAAAAAAAAAAAATCCCTTGCTAATGTCAAGGGTCTCCTATGGAAATCTCTTTCTACTATTTTGTTTGCTTTTTAAAGATAGACAACCATTTTGAGTAAACAAGCACAGGCCTACCCCCCCCCCCCCCCAGTCTTTGGCCACATACTGGCTCTGTGATTCTTTTTTTTTTTTTTTTTTTTGAGAATTTTTAAAATATTTTAAAAATTTTTTTAGTTTTTTAGTTATCGGCGGGCACAACATCTTTGTTTGTATGTGGTGCTGAGGATCGAACCCGGGCCGCACGCATGCCAGGCGAGCGTGCTACCGCTTGAGCCACATCCACAGCCCTGTGATTCTTTTTTTTTTAATTTTTATTTTTTATTATTTTTTTTAGTTGTTGATGGACCTTTATTTTATTTGCTTATTTATATGTGGTGCTAGGAATCAAACTCAGTGCCTCACACATATCAGGCAAGCGCTCTACTGCCGAGCTACAACTCCAGCCCTTTTTTAAAAAAAAATATTTATTTTTTAGTTTTAGGTTTAGGTTTACACAATATCTTTATTTTACATTTATGTGGTGCTGAGGATGGAACCCAGTGCCTCCTGCATGCTAGGTGAGCACTGTACCACTGAGCCCCCACCCCAGACCCCTGGCTCTGTGATTCTTGACACATGCAGTGCTTATACCAGGCAAGGTCAGGAGGCAGGGGAGTTCTTTCCACCTTGTCTCTTCTTAAGAGAACTTGTCAACCATGAAGGGAAGGGTTTTGGTGTGCAGGAGGGATATGCCCTTTTTAAAGTCAGAAGACTAGAGGCATTCTAACAATCTAGTCTAGTTTTCCTACTGGCAGGGTGAGAAGATTTCACAGTAGTGCCAACCAGTTTTGATTTGCATGTGTGTGGCCCTGCAACAAAGAGCAGCAGAGCAACTTGCTCAGATAAGAGGTGGGAGGGGCCGCCTAACATCACGCCCACGGTAAAGAGTCTTAGTAAGAAAGCACAGTTAGTAAATATCCATTTAATGAGTGACATCGTGACCAAGAGTCACCAAATAAATAATTGGATAGCTGTGGATGCTTTTATATCCTGGTAAGTTGATACTGTGTGTGATCATTGAGAGTCATGCTCTATTCTCTTGGGCCTCCTATAATGCTGGTATAGTGTGCTTTCAGACATTATCCCACTTTGACCTAGAGAACTCTTGGAGTTCATATGCAGGCCACACCCAAACAAGGACAAAATTAATAACCTTAGATTAGAGTTGGCTTTGTGAGATCCTAGGGAAGGAAACTTTGGACCCAGGAACAGATATCCTAGTGAGCAGGTTTCAGTGCAGGGTAAGGAGGTGCTACCTAAGAATTAGAAAATGCAACATCAGAAAATGCAACAGCCTCACTGAAGTACATTTATGTCATTTACGAATTTTCATTACTATAAGTAGTTCTTCACTGAACATCCTTGGAATATAGTTTTGTGTGTTTGCTCAGACACATTGCTGGATAGTATTCTAGAAGTTGGCTGTTCAGTTGAAAGATATATGCTTTTTATGTATTGTACAGGCTGCCTAATTGTCTTCCAAAAGGCTGTGTCAATTTGTCCCTCACACCCTGCACTCATTTCCAACAGCCTCGTAAGTATGGGATAGTATCAGTCTTTTGCACTGTTGCCAATCTGATCGGTAATATAGTTAACTATACTGGGAAATTCAGGCATGGGACAGGAGAGAAACAGGAGTGGGAGGGATGGGGAATGTTAGGAGGAGCACCTGGCAACATCGCAGGCCCAGGTGTTAGGGAGAAGATGAATCAGGGAGAGGCCCCTGTGCCCAAGGAACAAAGGGTCAGCCAGGTAGGGAAGTTGGAGTGTGATCTTGACTGAAGAGAAGTAAAAACCAAAGCTGCAAAATCACTCCCCATGAGCTTGCCTGACACTCTAGCTCCAAGTAGCTGGAACTTTATATCAGATCTCTTTACTGCTCATACCAAGGGACAAAGCAGACACACAACAACTTCTGTCTGGTCCCAGTAGGTCAGATACCTTTTCAACACAGGAAATATGTTTAGGTATTTATATGTGTAAAAAGGTAAGCTTGAAGTTGTAATATTTCTGGAAATCTTGAAATCTAAAGTAAAAGAAAAATCTAGAGGAAAATGTAATCTTTATTTTTCTAGCTCCTTTTATGAGTTTAAAGTTATATTGTTAACAATGTGGAATTTTATTTCCTCATGAAGTGATCATGTACAGTATTTAAATTTATAACATGGCTTATTCACACAATGTTAATACTTCCCAATTAAGCTTATTATTATATTTGTTATTTTTTGAGGGGAGGGTAATGGTGGTGGTACTGGGACTGACTCCAGATGCTCTCTACCACTGACCCACATCCCCAGTCATTGATTATTTATTTATTTTTTTTAAATTTTGATACAGGGTCTCACTAAGTTGCCAAGACTGGCCTTGAACTTGCCATCCTCCTGCCTCCGCCTCTGGAGTTGCTGGGAGTACAGGTGTGTATGCCAATGTACCCTGCTGGGTATTTTATTTTATCTTATTTTTTGCAGTACTGGGAATCAAATCCAGGGACTCACCAAATGCTAGGTAAGTACTCTATCAATAAGCCACATTCCCAGCCTGAACTTATTTTTAAATGTTTTAATATTTACAGTTAAAGGTTGCTGATCTTAAATGCACACTCTAGTTTTCTCAACTATAAGAAAGGGGTTAAAAACTAGAAATAATTATCAATGTTCAAGAAAAATCAATGAAGTGGCTATAGGTCTACAGATTTAATGTCTGACCCCATGGGAGGGTTGAAGATGCCAGGGAGGGACGAATTCTTTATTTAGAAAAACTGCTGCAGAAAGAGAAAATTAAAAGAATTCTTTTCCTCCCTAGAGTCGTTGAATATAACCTACTGTAAATTGGACACTTGCCTAATAAGATTCATTTGGAAATAAATTAAATTTGATCTGATTTCCAATAACTTGCTTTTGAAAACAGGCCCCAGGCTTAGTTCTGTCCATTCCATCCACCCACCCTTCCATTGCCAATAACTAATAATTATGCAGTGTTTACTATATGCCAGCTACTGTTCCAAGTGCTTTACAAGCATTATCTCAAATAGTTTTCCAACAGTGCTATGGGGGTGACTAATATCATCTCCACGTTAAAATGGAATCTGAGATTTCCCAGTAAGTTAGGTAGAGAATTACCATATGTGCCAGTAATTCCACTTGTAGGTAACTGTCCCAAAGAATTGGAGCAGGTATTCAAATAAAAACGGGTACAAGGATGCTCACAGCAGTTCGTTCACAATGGGCAAAAGGTGGAAACAACTCAATGTCCATCAACAAATGCATGGATATTGCATTATATAGATTTGATACAAAATGTGGCATCAAATCTATATAATGCAATATTATCCACAAAGAGAAAGGAAATTCTGACCCACGTGACAACATAGATAAACCTTGAAATAGTATGCTAGGTGAAAGAAGTCAGACACAAAGGACCACATATTGTATGACTCCATTTATGTAAAATATCCAGAATAGGTGAATTCATTGAGACAGGAAGCAGATTAGTGGCTGCCAGGGGCTGGGTGAGGAGGGTATGGGGTTTTTGTGTGGGGAGATAAAAATCTTTGGAATTAGATAGTGGTATAGTTACACAACATTGTAAATGTACCTAATGCCATTTAGTAGTATGGTTTAAACAGTTAAAATGGCATAATTTATGTGTGTGTATTGTACCATGATTAAGAAAAATTTAACTTGAGGTTAGGAAAATTTAAGTGACTTACCTAAGGGAACCTTATAGGTGACATGGGTAGGACTGTGTTTTAAACCCAGTTGTCAGGCTCCATGGCTCATCTTTTTATTTTAAAATCTTTATTTATTTATTTACTTATTGGGAAAATAACACACAAGATTTATTACACGCCTAAGACATGGGAGATTAGATTCCATGCTTTTCAAACCAAGTACAAGAGAGTATAGTGAAAACTTAATTCGGGAGGTTTAGACCATTTTGATCATCTTTAGCTGCCTCCTATCAACACACAGGAAAGAGGAGGGACACCAATTCTTGTACCAGACAACCAAGGAAAAGAGCCTCAGCCTGAGGACCAAAGGGTCCCTTTGGTGACCTGACGTTCTTATCCCTTTCAGGTGGAGGGAGGACTCCAGACAATGGCTGCTGCTCATGATTTGGAGATGGAGAGTGTGAATTTGAATATGGAGAGAGAGAACAAAGAGCTGGAAGAAGAGAAAACTTGGGTGGATGGGGGAGGAAAAGACCCCCCCAAGGGTCGAAAGGTCCACAGGATCGTCTCAAAGTGGATGCTTCCGGAACCAGTCCGAAAAACTTACCTGGAGAGAGCTAACTGCCTCCCGCCCCCAGTGTTCATCATCTCCATCAGCCTGGCCGAGGTAAGCGCGGTGGGTGGTGGGCGCCCGCGCACTCACCAGTGGGCAGATGGGAACACAGTGGGTAAGACTTGGACCTGGAGTGGAGGCCGGGACTGACGCAGCATGCTCCCCACACCGGGCCCTTCCCTAGAGCTGCCTTTCCTGGCTTCCTGTGCTCTTCATCCCTCCAACCAAGGGGGCAGTTTAATTGGTCAGACAATTTTCTTGAGTTTCTGAGGAAAACAGCGGGATCCTCTAAAGATGTCTCCTCTGGCAGCGTGGGGTGTGTGCTCAGTTTCTGATCTGGTCAGTCCTTTTGAGTTCTATAAGAGTGCAGGGTTCAGAAGGGTGGGACAACTCGCCTGAGGGCATGTCTTAGTGACTGGGCAGAACTAGGCTCTTCCTGAGAACTCCTCTCATCTTTGTGGTCTCATAAAGAAATTGGCAGAGCATAGCTACATGTGGGGTGTGACTTCAGGGACATAATCCTCTTAATTCCCATTGGTGTTAATCAGAAAAACAGACTCAATGGGGCATGAGTGAATGTACAGTACACACACACACACACACACACACAGAGATTTATTTTAAGAAATCAGCTCAAATGATTATGAAGACTTGGGAAGTTTAAAATCTTGAAATCTAGCTGCTGGCAGGTGGAGACCCAGGGAATAGCTGCAGTTTGAGTCCAGTGCTGTCTACTGAGTGAATTCCTTTTTTTTTTTGGTGCTGGGGATTGAACCCAGGGCCTCGTGCGTATGAGGCAAACACTCTACCCACTGACCTATATATATGGATTCTGTTTTCCTAATGGAGGGCAGTCTTTTCTATTTAGGCCTTCAAATAACTGGTTGGGTGAGGCTCACCCACATTATGGAGGAAAATCTGCTTTACTGATTTAAATGTTGATCTCAGCTTTAGAAAAACTAGCTGGGTACTGTATTCACCTTGGAAGGTGACACATAAATTTAGCTATCATGGGAGCCAAGTTTCTTATGGCTTATAATGATAAAAACGAATGTGTAAGAATTCCCAGGAGACCCTTTGTCAAGGTTTTGGTTGAAGGCAGGTAGCTCTCTGTTTTCTCATGGGGTTTTATTGTGAGACTTAACCTGTGACTGGGAAGTTATTAGGCTGTGTATGTGGATTCTATCTGCTTCTCCCTTCATGTTATCCTTTCATCTTACAGGTTTTCTGGTGTGATCATGTTCCCATCAGCTGTGTGTGTGGGTGGGAGGAGGGTTGGAGAAGAATGGGGTAAGGATGCATGGTACAAATACGACTGCTGGACTGTGAGTGCTACCTAGAGTGTGCAGCTTCCTGCAATAAGTCAGGGGGCAGGTGCTAAGATTTCTAACACTTACAGAAAGATCTGCTTTTAAAATTACTTTAAGTGAATTTTTTGTTGTTGTTTGGTGGTGCTGGTGATGGAACCCACAGCCTTGTACATGCTAGGCAAGTGTTCTACCTCTGAGCTATATGCCCAGGCCTTAGTAAACTTTTTTGTTTTGGAATAATTTTAGCTTTATAGAAAAGGTGCAAAGGTAGAACAGTGAGTTCCCCTATACTCACGGAATTTCTCCCATTTGTTAAATGTACTAACATTCCATAGAATATTACATAGTACATTTATGGAAACTAAGAAGCTGATGTTTGGTGTGGTACAGGTTGAGTATCCCCTTTCTAAAATGCTGGGAATCAGAAATATTCTAGATTTTAGTTTTTCTGATTTTGGAATATTTGCATAGACTTTCCAGGTTGAGTAGATCTAATCTGAAAATCTAAAATACAAAATGCTAAGGTCCTACTTTATTTTATTTTTTGGTACTGGGGACTGAACCCTGAACCCAGCAATGCTTAACTATGAGCCACATCCCCATCTTTTTTTATTTTGAGACAGGTCCTGCTAAATTGCTTAGGACCCTCTAATTTGCTGAGGTTGGCTTTGAATTTGCCATCCTCCTGCCTCAGTCTCCTGAGTTGCTGGGATCATAGGCGTGTACTACCACGCCTGGCTGATCCAAAACTTTACAAGTGTCATGTTGGTGCTCAAAAAGTTTCAGATTCTGGAACAATCAGATTCTCAGATCAGAGATGCTTAACCTAGGCTGGGGATGCAGCTCAGTGATAGAGCAGTTTCTTAGCATGCGCAGGACCCTGGGTTCCATCTCCAGTAACGCAAAGAAAAAAGGTGTAGAGATGTCTAACCCATACTATTAATAAAACTCCCGACTTTATTTGGATTTTACCACTTCTCCCATTAATGTCTTCTTTTTGTGTTCCTAGTACTCTCCAAACCAGGGAATCAAATTGCATTTAGTAGTCACATCTCCCTAGCCTCCTTTGATCCCTGACGGTTTCTATTATTTTTCCATGAGCTTGGCAGTCTTGGGGTGTACTGGGGTACAATGTCCCCCACCCTGTTTGATGTTTTTCTCATAATTAGACTAGAGTTATGGGTTTGCGGGGAGAATACCACAAAGGTGAAGTGCAACCTTCTCTTCCCATCACATCAGGGAGTAGGGGATATCACATAATGTTACAGGGACATTACTTTTCACCATTTGGTGGAGGGAGTGTTTTCCAGATTTTGCCACTGTGGAGTTAACTACTTTTCCCTTTCCTTACTGGATTCCTGGAAGCCAGCACTGACTGACTTTTATATTAATTGTAAATGAAGGGTCAAATAGTGGGGGTGGGAATGTGAGGGCAGTGGGTATTTAAGGGGATGGAAGAGAACCTAGTACTAGATAGCAGGGGTCAAAGGCAGGGGAAAGGGGATTCTTGATAACAGCTGGTCTAGTGCAGCCCTTGACCATGGGAGGAAGGAGTTGACCACAGTGGGGGATGGTTGGGAAACGTAATTGCTGTCATCTTCTGAGCCCACTCAGAGCTGATGATTTAAACATAGTTACTGCCTGTGGGCTTAATGGGGCACTCTCTGGCGACTGGTGTGGTTAACATTCATGTCTGCCCCTCCCTATCAGCTGGCAGTGTTTATTTACTATGCTGTGTGGAAGCCTCAAAAACAGTGGATCACCTTGGACACAGGCATCCTGGAGAGTCCCTTAATCTACAGTCCTGAGAAGAGAGAGGAAGCCTGGAGGTTTATCTCCTACATGCTGGTCCATGCGGGGTAAGGAGTGACAGTTAAGTCATTGGTGTCAGAGGTGATTATAAGTAATGTAAGAAATTGTCACTTCTCACTGTGTGTGTATGTGTGTTACTGGGAATTGAGCCCAGGGCCCCACACCTGCTAGGCTAGCACTTTAGCCCTGAGCTATACCCCCAGCCCTTTTTAGATTTTGGGACAGGGACTCGTTAAATTGCTCAGGTTGGCCTCCTGCTTTAGCCTTCTGTGTAGCTGGAATTAAAGATGTGTGTCACCCTGCTTTCTGTCACCCCTAACTTGTGTTTAGAGCTTTATTATCATAAATAAGGTACTTTCATGTCCATTTTCTTGTTTGAGCCTCACAGCAGCCTAGGAGGTGAGTATTTCTCCCATTCTTATGTCTGAGGATGTAATCACTTGCTGCACATCCCACAGCTGATTCAGAAAGAGACCTTACCCCACAAATGCTGACAATATAAACTACTTTACATTGCATTATAACTATCTAATGTTTGTTTTGATATAGGAATTTTAATAAACAGATGCCAAATAATTAGCAAGTCAGCCGTAGGTCTCCCTAGTTGATGGATGTTGTTAAATGTTTTCTAATTTAGGTTATGAAATGGTAGAACCAAAGGACCATCAGCACCCCCCACCCAATAATCCTACACCACACTCTTTAAAAAAATTAATTCATTTTCATCAGTGTGAAATACTGTTTTGCATCTGATATGTTACAGGCAATAGGAGGTGCGGTGCTGCATTTTAGTTGTATCATTTCCTAAAAGCAGATAGTCTTTCATGTCCCTCAGCATCCACCATCTCCCATACGTGCTGCAGTCCGTCAGCAGCTTGCTGCCAGATCCACCTCTTTGGTGGACTCCTATGGTGTCCAGTAAGGCCAATTCTGTCTATGCGGCCTACCCAGTTCTGGTGTAAAAGATGACTCTTTTGGTCAGTGGCTAAAAAAACAACTATTACAGGACGCAGAGGTTTGACAATCCCCAATTGCTGAGTTTCTGTCCATACTTCCATACTTTCATTTTCCATTTTACAAATCTTTTCTAAGCAAATGTGGCTTCTGCTCTCAAGGACATTAAAATTATAAGAAGAATAAACCAATAGTAATGTTGGCAATATAGTATTAGAGTATACAGTAGGTACTTCTTTAAAATGGGGTTTTAGTACCACCTCTTAAGGTGGTTGTGATTAAATGAGACACTGCTACAATTTTCACAGTGTCTGATATATATAGTAAGACACTCAGAAAGAATTTGCATGTCTGTGTAGGACATGTCACATATGGGGTTGTATTAGAGATGTTTTGGGATGTGAATTAACAAATAGAGACCTTTTTTGGGGTTGTGTGTGTGGGGGTATATGGTGCTGGGGATTAAACCCAGGGCCTTAAGCATGCTAAGAAAGTGCTCTACCACTGACCTACAGCTCAGGTCAAGAGGCTAATTTTTTTCTAATATGAAAAGTACAAGGTAGGTGATCGGTTCATCAGCTTATTGAAACCAAGGCTCTAGGTTCTGTGCTGGTGTCTCTGCTATTCTTTTGGCCTTTTTTGCTTTCAGGTTGGCTGCTACAACTCTGCATTCAAAGCCAAAAGAAGGGGAAGGGGGCACCAGGTACAGGTGCATCCAGCCCTTTAGTCAAGACGGAGCTCTCTTAACAGTGCTCTTACTTGCTCACTGGTCAGAACTATGTGACTGGACCTGGCAACTCCTAGCTAAGAGAGGTTGGGAAAGTCAGCATTAGATCTTCTAGCCTGACTGGAGGAGGCTGGGTAGGGAGAAGAGAAATGGATGTTGGAATTGTTATAGTGTAAGATAAACAGAGAGAGGGAAAGACCAGGGTGGGGATGGCTTCTCAGATGACAGATTGAAGTTGGATCTTGAAAGTAGGGAAAATTTGGGTGAAAAAAATTAGTAATTCCATTTAAGGTAGATGACACATTGTAATTTTAATGCCACTTTTAGTCTTACTGTTGAGCAGCAGAAAGTTTGTATGGGGTTTGGAGTTTTTATGATATTGGTCACCTTGTCCTCAAAGGGTTCTCAGAGGACAGGATGGCTTTCTTTGAACTTCTCATTTAAATTCAGGAGCAGATATTTCTTTTCTTTTTTTTTTTAATATTTATTTTTTAGTTTTAGATGGACACAATATCTTCATTTTATTTGTATGTGGTGCTAAGAATCGAACCCAGTGCCTCACGCATGCCAGGCGAGCGCGCTATCACTTGAGCCACATCCCCAGCCCAGGAGCAGATATTTCTAATCTCCTTTATGCTTGAGATATCCAGAACAATAGTATAACTGTCCTTGCTAGACTATTCTGTGCTGAATGACACATACCTCTTGTATGTCTTGTGTGTGTGTGTGTGTGTGTGTGTGTACACTGCAATTTAACTCAGGGGCACTCAACCATTGAGCCACATCCCCAGCCCTATTTTGCATTTTATTTAGAGACAGGGTGTCACTGAGTTGCTTAGCACCTTGCCGTTGCTGAGGCTGGCTTTGAACTTGTGACCCTCCTGTCTCAGCCTCCTGAGCTTCTGGGATTACAGGTGTGAGCCACTGTGCCTGGCTCTCATATGTCTTTGAAGATGTCTTGGGCACTCATAGTTATAGCTGGGAGCACAGGCACCATAAAAGTAAGTAATCCATTCTGCAGGATGTATCTAGAGAACCTCTTCAGTGACCTGTTGGATATCTGTAAAGTACATGATGATGCAAAAACATAGTCTCTAAAACTAACATGAGAACTGCTGCACTGTGGAATATTGATATATCTATTTTGTTTTGGAACTTTTGGTACAATCTGAAATCTCCTTAAAAAACAAACAAACAAACAAAAACACTGTACTGCATAGCAACTAAATTAAGAGTTACTTTAATGTGGGAATTTTTCAAATTATGTTCAGATTCTCCAGAGATGCTTTGTGGGTTCAATAAGCAAGATAATAAAAACTTTGTTTAAAAATATTTTTACTGAGCTGAGGACGTAGCTATTGGTACATTTGCCTACCATGTGTAAGGCCCTATATTCAATTCCCAGCATTGAAAAAAACCTGTATGTGTGTGTGTGTGTGTATAAATATATTCCCATATGTTTACACACACACACACACACACACAGATAGATAGATAGATAGATAGATTTTTAACATATTTAAAGACTATAATAAAAACACCCACATTCATTGTGTTATATGCCAAGTTGTAGTATGTGGGAATTACTTTAGCAAGTCTTAAAGGTACTTTTTAAATGTAGAAACAGCAGTGAAATTTCTCTTGCCTTCTCTGTTTTATTAAATATCCAGAGGTTGCAAGATAGACTGTTTAAAAATCTGTCGAAATTTAAACTCATTGTGAGTGAGTCAGGATTTTTTTTAAAACTACAATGGAAACAAAATCAGATGCTGAGACTGCCATGATTGTAGTTGTCATCCAAACCCCTAATTTCAAGTTTATGTTCCTTAAGCCTGCCCCTCTGGTGTTTCCTGTTATAATTGTTATAAAATGGACTTATAGAATATATTTATACTTTTAAAATGTTGTTGTATCTGTTTTACATATTGAAGTGCCTTGCAAGATTTTATTAAAAAAAAAAAAAGAAAGACTTGCCTGCTAAAAAAATTAGAAAATGGAATTCTAGCAAGTCCAAGTCCTTAACTAGAAACAACATCTCAGAGCCTACTAAAGAAATAACTGCTTTAATATTTGACAACTGTGTTTGTCTTTGCAGAGTTCAGCACATTGTGGGGAATCTTCTTATGCAGCTGGTTTTGGGAATTCCCTTGGAAATGGTCCACAAAGGCCTCCGAGTGGGGCTGGTATACCTGGCAGGAGTGATTGCAGGTCAGTGTTCTGAAAGTAGCAGAATCAACAATTCTGGGCTCTTAAGATTAAAAGCGAAAATAATAGATATTTATAGTGGATTTCCTTTTTCTTTTATGCCTTACTTTTCTTGTTTTGTAGTACTAGGGATTGAACTCAGGGCCTTGCTCATGTAGTTTTACCACTGATCTACATTCCCAGCCTTTTTATAAATTTCATTTTGAGAAAGGGTCTGGAAGTTGCCCGGCTAGACTTAAACTTGTGATCCTCCTGCCTTAACCTCCTGAGAGGCTGGGAGCATAGATGTGTATCACCATGCATGGCTATAGTTTCTTATTTAAGTCAAAGTTTATTGTGCTCCTAATATATGTTAGGGACACACTAAGCATTAGAGATAATTTAATTGGAGATGAGATATTAGAGATAATATGAGCACATGAAAAAGAAGTCCTGGTGCCTTTATTCAGGAATCTCACATAATTGGAAACTGCAAGCATTTTGGTGTATAGGATGCTTATATTGGGTAAAGGCCTAAAGCCAGGTCATGAAGACTCTTAAGTGTCAGGCTAATGATTTTTAGAAGTAATATGATTGGGTTTGCATTTTAGAAAGACAAATTTGGGCTAGGGATGTAGCTCAGTGGTACAGTGTGTGCCTAGCATGTGCAAGATCATAGGTTTGATCCCCACACATCATCACACACACAAAGGGACACAAAGACACAAAGACTAGTAGAATGTGGCAGTAATTTCTAAAATTGTGCCTAAGTTGATTAATTATGGTGTGAGAAGAAAATATTAGAACTCCTGTCCATTTATATAAACATTTTAAAATATTAAAAATTTAATTTTAGATAATTGTAGACATACCAGCAGAGGTTAAGAAATATTGCCTAATGATCCCATGTACCCTTTGACCAAAGTTGCAAGATAGACTGTTTAAAAATCTGTCGAAATTTAATGGTAACATCTTGCAAAACCTTAGCACAGTATCATGACCAGGACACTCATATGGGTTTAGTCAAGTTCCAAAACATTCCCAGCACCCCAATGATTCATCATCATGCCTTTTATAGCTCTGGGTTCATCCCTGTCAGCCTACCACACTCCTATATCATGGGCAGTCACTAATCTGTTCTCCATTTCCATAATTTTGTCATTATTAAATGAAATAATCTAGTTTATCGTGTTTGGGATGGCTTTCCTCTAGGATTGTATTCCTCTAGGTTGTTTCATGTATCAATAATTAATTCCTTTATATTGCTGAATAGGACTCCGTAGTATGGATGTACAACTACTTGTTAAATGATTTGCTCACTGAAGGGCATCTGGGTTGTTTAGAGTTTTGGGCTATTTGTAAATAATGCTGCTACAAACATTTATGTACATATTCTTATGAATCTTAAATTCAGGGTTTTGTGAACATAAGATTTCATTAGACTACAATAAATGTCAAAGAGCACACCTGCTGGATCATACATATGATGGTAGCATGTTTTATTTTTTAAACAAAAATTCCAGAAGGTTTTCCAGAATATCTATCCTTTTATATTCCTCCTAGTAAAGGACAAGTGATTCCATTTCTCCATATTCTCAATAGCATTAAGATTTGTTGTTGTTGTTGTTGTTATTATTATTTTTTTTTACTTTTTCTGAGAAGAGGGCAGTGATATCTTATCATGGTCCTAATTTACCTAATGGCTAATGATGCTGAAATCTTCTTATGTGTTTATTTGCCATCTGTCCATCACCTTCAGTGACATGTCTGTTAATGTTTTTTGCCCATTTTCTAATTGAAATTTTTTAATTATTGAATTTATAAATTCTGGATACTAGTTTTTCTTTAAAAATATAGTTTATAAGTATTTTCTCCCAATCTATAGCTTGTCCTTCCATTATCTTAACATGGTCTCTCACACAGCATGAATTTTAAAATTTTTGATGAAGTCAATCAAGGTTGTCCTCCCTCCCTCTGCCAGTACTAGGGATTGAATGCAGGGCCTCACACTTGCCGGGTAAGCACTCTACCACTGAGCTACATCCCTGGCCCAATCAAGTTTTTTCCAGTTTTCTTTTTATGAATTAAGTTCTTGGGGTTCGCCTTAAACACTCTTTACTGAGTCCTAGTTCTGAAGATTTTTTCCCTACATTATCTTCTTAAAAGTTATAGTTTTTTGCCTTACATTTAAATATGTGATCAGTTTTGATTTGGTTAATTTTTCTATGATGTATAAGGTTCAGATTGAGGTTGTGTTTGTTTCTTTGACCTATGAATATCCAACTATGCCAGAACAATTTGTTAAAAGAACTGTTCTTCCTTTACTGAACTGCTTCTGCACTTTTGTCAAAAATCATTTGCCTATAGTTGTATAAGGGCTACTCTGGCTTCTTTTTATTCCATTGATCTGTGTGTCTCTCAACTGATACTATATAGCATTGGTTACTGTAGCTATATAATAACTCTTGAATTCAATAAGAATGATTCCTATTTTAGTTTTCATTTAAAAAATATTTTTGCTGTTGTAGTTCCTTTATCTTTCCATATATATTTTTACAACAATCCTATGTATAACTTTGAAAATTCTTTCTGGGATTTTGATAGGAGCTCATTAAACCTGTACATTAATTTGGGGGAGAACCAAAATCTTTACTGTGTTGTCTTTCAATCCATGAGCACAGCATGTCTCTTATTTAGATCTCCTGGATGCTACTATATTTTTAATCAGTGTCTGTGTGTTCATTGCTGGCATAGAGCAATACAACTATTTTTTATATGCTTATCTTATATCTGTGACTTTCTTATTAGTTCTAGAGTTTAGTTTTTTTTTTTTTAGATTCCTTGGGATTTTCCATGTCGTCTGTGACTCATCATGATTAGTGACAGTTTTATTCTTTGCTTTTCAATCTGCATGGCTTTTTTTTTTTAATATTTATTTTTTAGGTGTAGATAGACACAACACAATGCCTTTATTTTTATGTGGTGCTGAGGATCGAACTCAGGGCCTCACATGTGGTAGACAAGTGCTCTATCACTGGGCTCCAGCCCCAGCCCGAGCATGGCTTGTCTTTTTATGCCTTGTCATGGTGGCCAGCACCTCCACCACTATGTTCAGTAAGAGTGGGGAGAACAGATATCCTTGCCTTGTTCTTGCTCATCTATAGAAAGCAATGAGTCTTTTACTACTAAGTAGAATGTTAGCTATTAGCTGTAGGCTTTCTGTAGATGCACTTTACCAATGCATTTCTTTCTTTGTTTTTCTTACAAGTGTCTCCTTTGGTTGCCCAGGTGGCTTCAAACTCCTGGACTCCATCCCAGCCTCTTGAGTACTGGGATTACAGGCATGTGCAAGCATCTGGGTTACCAATACATTTATTTCTAAAAAATGAGCAAGAAATTGAGTATAGCAAGTATGTACTGCACAGGTTGAGATGGGCCCCACTGTCTTTATGTGTTGTAAGAGGACATGCAGTTTCTTGGGCGTAGGGTGGGAGTTCCACAGCACACAGGGACAGAAAGCTGTACCTGACTTGCTGTCCTTCATGTTGCAGGATTTATTGCAGTCTGTGTGGGCCTGGTTAAATAAGTAGGGTAATCTTCCTAAGGAATAAAGGACATCCTGTGTAAGGAGTTGTCGAAAGGATCTTTTATTATTTCCCAGAGATTCATTGATTACTTAATGGTAAATTACTTAGATTAGTTTATATGTTTTTCTTTTACAAAAAAGATGGATGTCCAATTTGCTGACTTTTTCTGTGATAATAAAAGGATTTTTTTAAATTTTTATTTTTTAGTAGCATGCTACTTAACAGATGTTAGGAAAACAAATATGCAATATGTCCCTTTGAGGACATGATTACATTTTTCCCTCAAAGGAGTGAGAAAATAACTACTTTTCTAAAATACTCATGCTATGCAAAAGGTATTTTGAAAATTGGAAATTGTTTCATTATTATGTGATTTTGCTGCTGAAAATGATGCAACATCTCATAAATTCACATTTAGAAGGCAGGGAAACAATTCTTTAATTGGTTTTAAAATTTCTCAGTGAAGAGTTTTGGTGAGCTTTAAATTTTAATATAGCATTTTGATTATTTTGCAATAACAAATTACTGACATTGGGGAAAGTGGGAATTAGCCAAATTGCAACAAAATTTTTGCATAACTGGAGTTAAGCACAGTCAGTGATACAATTCTATTTGAAACTACATATCATTTTTTAATTTTAAATTTGGCCATGATAGTCATTTCTATAGAAAATAATTGAATTTCGAATTACATCTTTGTATTTCTGTGTCATGATATTTAACCAAGAATTTCAAACTATAATATGAAGCCTACTTAAGAAACACTACTCATTGAAAGATTTTTTTATACCATTAATGAAGTAAAAATAATTTTAAAATACTGTTTTTAAATTCTATTTTTATTTTAAAGACATATTAGTATAGTAGTACATATATATGTAACTTATAAATATGTAAATACACCTATATTTCAAAAGGTAGTTGTGTTAGTTTCCTAGCTGCTATAACAAAGTGCCATAAATTGGGTGGCTAAAAACAACAGGATTGAGCCAGGCACAGTGGCACACCCCTGTAATTCCATTGACTTGGGAGGCTGAGAAAGGAGGATCACAAGTTCAAGGCTGGCCTCAGCAACTTAACAAGACCTTGTCTCAAAACAAAAAAATGAAAAGGGGATGTAGTGGTAGAATGCCCCTGAGTTCAATCCCCGGTACCACAAAATAAGTGAATAAATAAGGCAATAAATAAATAAATGAAAACAAATAGATTAAAGAGAAAAAAAAAAAAACAGGAATGTGTTGTTTCACAGCTCTGGAGGCTAGAAGTCTGAAATTAAGCCATCAGTAGTACTCTGCTCCCTCTGAAACCTGTAGGTGAATCCATCCTTGCCTTCTCCTAGTTTCTGGTGGTAGCTATGAGTCTTGGTGTCCTTTTCTTTTAAGGTACTGGGGATTGAATCTGGGGTCTTGCACATGCTAGGCAAGTGCTATACCCTCC